AAGAGGCTACTAGCCATGTTTAAAGAGCTTACAACGGCTAGGGTTGACGTCGATAAACGAACGTCGTCACAGAAAAAAAAGAATAGCACATCGGCTAGGGTTGACATCGATAAACGAACATCGTCGTTAAAAAAAATAGCACATCGGCTAGGGTTGACGTCGATAAACGAACATCGTCGTTAAAAAAAAATAGCACATCGGCTAGGGTTGACGATGATGAACACCGCCGTCGGGGGAAAAAAATAGAAGAAAAAAAGAGCAAAATAAATTTAAAACGATACTCAAGACGATGATACTATTGGCTTTAGTACATCGTTGTTATCTTCATCGTCGCTTTCGGATTCGACCGACATTGTTGATGAGAAGGAAAAGAAAAAAAATTAGAGCAAAAACCCAGACTCTGATACCATAATAGGGAAAATGTTTTTCTATGTTGATAATGAGAAGAATACATCATAATATATAGCAAAATACAATAGAATATTCTAGGCATAATATCTAGGGTAAATCATAACAATATTAATGATAATATTCTAAGAATAATATCTTCCTATAATTATAACCTGTAGATTTTCTACATTTATAAAAAAATATTTGCATGAATTTCGTTTTCCTTTACATACATGAAAAAACAATTATATGAATTTTGTTTTCTTATATAAATATAGAAAAAACACTTGCATGTTAGCAGATACGATAGGTGCCGTAGGTGCCAAAGATGACCTGCCGCAGGCAACAGGTCATCTGGCAGACCGTAGGCAACTGCCGTAGGCTGTAGGTCATTTACCGCAGAGCGTAGATCATTTTTCATAGACGACATGTCATCTTCTACAATTTTTTTTATAGACATTTCATCAAACACCTTATGTGCATACACAAAATGATCAGAATATCACAGAAAAAGAAATCAATCAGAAAAGTATTTGAATACATTAGATAAACTGTAAGAAATAGAGAAGATAGAGAAAATGTTGGAGACCGCAGATCATTTGCGGTAGGTCCGCAGGGCGATAGCTGCAGGTCCGCAGGGCGATAGCCGCAGGTCCGCAGGGCGATCGTAGGCCAAATGACATGCCGCAGACCGCAGATCATTTGCGGTATATCACAGTCATCTGCCAGAGACCATAGGTTATTTAACGCAGAGTGCATGTCATTTTTCACAGATCGCATGTCATCTGTCGTAATCGTAGTTATATGGTCGTAATGAGTCGTAGTCATAGTTATATGGTCATAGTGAATCGTAGTGAGTCGTAGTTATATGGTCGTAGTGAGTCATAGTGAGCCGTAGTGAGTTGTAGACGTAGTTATATGGTCGTAGTGAGTCGTAGTCGTAGTTATATGGTCGTAGTGAGTCATAGTGAGTCGTAGTAAGTCGTAGTGAGTCGTAGTTATATGGTCGTAGTAGTTAGTCATAGCGAGTCGTAGTCGCGGTTATATAGTCGTAATGAAATCACAGTCACAGGTTCGCAAGGTGATAGCCGCAGGTCTGCAGGTTCGCAGGTCCGCAAGTCTGCAGGTTATAGCCGCAAGTCCGCAGGGCGATAGCTGCAGGTTGGCAAGGCGATAGCCGCAGGTCCGCAGGTTCGCATGGTGATAGCCGCAGGTTCGCAGGTCCGCAGAGACGTACAACCCATGGAAAAGGACCTAAAGATCTGTCGTTCGTTGCAGGTCCGTAGGTTGCCTAGGTCGCAGGGCGATAGCCGCAGGTCGCAAGAGGTCGCAGGACGATAGCCGCAGGTCGTAGGGCGATAGCCGCAGATCGTAGGAGGTCGCAGGACGATAGCTGCAGGTCGCAGGGCGATAGTCGCAGGTCGCAGGAGGTCGCAGGACGATAGCCGCAGGTCGTAGGACGATATCCGCAGGTCGCAGGGTGATAGCCGCAGGTCTGCAAGGCGATAGCTGCATGTTCGCAGGCCAAATGACCTACTGCAGACCGCAGATCATTTGCGCCATATCATAGATCATCTGTCAGAGACCATATGTCATTTAACGTAGATCGCATGTCATTTTTCACATATCACAGGTCATGTGCCGCAGTTTTCTGGTACATACATTTCATCAAACACCTTATGTGCATGCAAAAAAATGATCAGAATATCACAGAAAAAAATCAACGAAAAGAGTATTTAAATATATTAGATAAACTATATAAGAAATAGAGAAGATAGAGAAAATATTGGAGAAAAAAGAAGATCAAATAGCAAAACTTACTGATTTTTAAAAGATAGATTATCACACAATCGTAGAGAAATACTGTGAATGATAGTTTGGGTATTTAGAAAAAAAATATATTATGCAAAAGTTGTTTTTTGTGATATATTTTGTAAATTTCGTTTTTGTTTTGGTACAGTTTGTCAACTGTCCCTATAATTTATTGACTTATGTATCCAAATTTTCTCACATTTTTTTTAATTTTTTTTTTATACATTGGGAAACCCTCGTGACTACCTACCCTTACAAACGGAGACAAACTGGCCACCACCCGCGCCTAACAGTCCCCATGGACCTCAGTCCACCGGACCTGGCCACCAGGCGCGCCTAACGCTCGGGCCGTAGTTGGGCTTAGGCGCCTGCGGGTCAAACCCCAAACCCATGCGCACGAATCTGCAACACACGCGTAGAAGGTAAATCAGCTCATTATGATAGACTGACAGGCGTAGGATCTCTCTCTATATTCTTGGATAAATGAAAAAGCATAGGATCTCTCTATATATATATCATGAATATATTTATAAAATTATATAGGCCCTCCTCTAGTTGAGGCATCGATGTGTAAACCATATTTAATTCGAAAATAAATTTAATTGTCCTTAATGATAGAATTTGGAGCGCATAATTACATAATGCCAAAATTATACCAACCACCATCTCGCGGAGGGAGCGATAGCGAATATGCTTTTAGCATAAGAGGCTAACCAAACTTACACTTTTAGAATTAATTAAGAATAAATAAAAGATTAGTTGGAGAATTAGTATCTAATCATTGTGTTATTTAAGAGTTAATTACCCTCTCTTTTCAATTACTACAAAAATTAATTACCTTCTTATGCCTCACACTTTATCTAAGAAAAAGATCGTTGTCGCGCGTAGCATGTGAAGCTTTGGATCTTTTGAATTTTGGATAACGTTTAGTAATTTAAATTAGTTTATATACAATTTATTTTAAATGGCAATATACGGTCCTAAATATTTTAGATATAAAAACCAACATATATGTTCCAATATCCTATTTGTTTTAAGTATATTGAATCATATCCTAATTATAATGTAATGGGCTTTCTTTATCATAATGGGGTTTCTTTGTCATTCAATTAATTTAAAATGAAGTTAAATAAAAAAAAGGCCGAAAATACACATCAGATGGATAAGGTTTTATATTCTTCTCATAGACGTGGTGGCCCAAGAACTGCCCATCTCAATAATCATCAGCAAATTGGGATAATGATGATTAATATTTTATTAACAAATAAATAATATCAGTCCATAGAATGTCTTGTGGTATATAACGTCCTTATTCATATTAAAAATTTAAAACCAACAAACCCTTTGTTTAGTTGTTTCAATACAATCTTTTTTTTTTTTTGCTGAAATCAATCCTTGGGTTTTTTTAGTGGGATGTGAATAACATTATGGTTTAGTTGCGTATACCAATCCTAATTATATCTAAGCCACTAATTATTCTAAATTCATAAATACAAAAAATTATATTCCTGTTTTAAAAAAATGTTAGATAGCAATCTTTTTTAACCTATCATTAGATGAATACAGAAATTATTATGACCATTAGAAAAATAAGTCTTTTTCAAGTACAAAAATAATAATATGAAAAACAAATAAATTTTAAACAAAATACAACAACATATTTTCAGTTTTTATTTAGATGATGATAATATGATGCAGATTTATATAACATTTCTCTGATTTAATTTAAGCTTGTGAAAAGAAAAGTCAATTTCTTTTTAAACTCCCAACCATAATTTGTAGGGGGAAAGTAAAATTTGCCAAAAGAACAGAGTGAAAAGGTAAACTTTTTCCATTTTTTTCTTTTTGTAATTTCTTTTTCAGTGTGTTCTTCCGCTTCCGATCTTTCGAGAGACTAAACCAAAGAGGACAAAAAAGCCGTATATGTAGAGACATTACAAGTCACTGTCCTCCACGTCGACGTGTTCGGTCTTGCTTCGCTGGAATAAAAATCCCCATAATTTTCAAAAAATAAAAAATAATCACATTTAATTTAACTAATTAATTCTCTAGTAACCTTCTCGACCGGTATCCGGTCGCATATCATCTCGCCACCTCAGACTATAAGTACGACCACATAGTGTTCAAGAACCATCAAGAACATAAAACCTCATCTCTCTCTCACTCGTTCACTCAGGATCAATCTCAGCCGTTTGATCTCCGGTCAATTTCCCGACCATGCCGATCAGGAATATCTCCGTCGGCCGCCCGGAGGAGGCGACCCACCCCGACGCCCTGAGGGCGGCGTTGGCTGAGTTCATATGCACTTTGATCTTCGTGTTCGCCGGCTCAGGCTCGGGCATGGCCTTCAACAAGCTCACCAACGACGGAGCCACCACCCCCTCCGGCCTGGTCGCTGCCGCACTGGCACATGCCTTCGGCCTGTTCGTCGCCGTCTCTGTCGGAGCCAACATCTCCGGCGGCCACGTCAACCCCGCCGTCACTTTCGGTGCCTTTGTCGGCGGGAACATTACCCTCCTCCGCGGTATCCTCTACTGGATCGCTCAGCTCCTCGGCTCCGTCGTCGCCTGCCTCCTCCTCAAGTTCACCACCGGCGGCCTGGTAAATTTCCTTCTTGCCCTTTTCTTCTCCCGCAAGAAAACTCTACCGTTTCTGAGTTGACCCTTTTCTTCTCCGACAACAACAAGAGTTACAGTTCTACTCGTTTTGAATCTATTAGAAACTCAGTGACTGTTTCCGAGTCAACGCTTTCCTTCTCCGACAAGAAAAGATACACTTCTGTTCGTTCTGGATCAATTACGAAACTCAAGTGACTGTATGTATCTGTCGTTTTTTCCTTTCAGGCCGTCCCAGCATTCTCCCTCTCCGCAGGTGTCGGGACACTGAACGCGTTCGTGTTCGAGATCGTGATGACCTTCGGCCTCGTCTACACTGTCTACGCTACCGCAGTCGACCCGAAGAAGGGCAGTTTGGGAACTATAGCTCCGATCGCAATCGGTTTCATCGTCGGAGCAAACATCTTCGCTGGTGGAGCTTTCACCGGAGCATCAATGAACCCGGCGGTCGCCTTCGGACCGGCCGTCGTGAGCTGGTCTTGGGCAGGACACTGGATCTACTGGGCTGGTCCGTTGGTCGGCGGTGGGATCGCCGGGATTGTCTACGAGTTCTTCTTCATCTCCAACACTCACGAGCAACTTCCTTCCTCCGCCGATTACTGAGTCGTGACTCGGTTTGAACTCGTGTTAGTTGGTGTGATCATTTGGTTTGTTTCCAAGGGGTTTTTCAAAAGTTTCGTGGGTTTATTTCATGACCGTTGGATCTTTTTAGGGTTTGATGTAATATGTTTGCTGTCAATTTGGGGGTTTGAACGGTAAAATTTCCCTGGAATCATTGTAATCTTTCGGGTCTGCATGGTTATAAAAAAAAAAAAATGAGAAATCCAGGGTTTTTTACTGCGGTTAATAATGTGAATTATGCATTTTCCTCCAGCTTTCCACTTGTTTTTATTCCAACCATTCCTTTTTCAGCATATGATTTTTATCTTGTCAAATCAATTATTTACAGTTCGGTCCTACAACTCCTTTTCGTACGAGTAATTATGTTTGAAAGTTAGACCACTAAATATATAGAAAATTAGCTGTACATATTTTAGATTTTAGTTTATTTTTTTCAGTAATTTTTATCGAAAAAATTATATTTTTTTGAATCCCACTTTTGGATATTTTAAATTTATTTAAAATTCATAAATTTAATTTAAGAATTATATTCAACCAAATTATTATATTGTATTTTAAATTTTATATATTCGAACCCAAATAGAAACGTTTTATTGCAAAAAATTAACGCACTATTGTTACACAGTATTTTATGAAAGAGAATGCAACCAGCGATAATAATGCCACTTATAACAATTCATGCGACCTTTTTTGGGTTGTCTACGAAATCTTTGGATATTCAGATACTTTTTACACGTATTAGACATTTGCATATTGTAATAACATGGTATTTATTTCTATTCAAACAAAAATATTAAAATTTAGATATATTAAGACAACTTTTCTCAAAATAATTTCAACACTACTAGTAACAAAGAAAAATATTGGCACACTAAACAAAGATCAGTTCTTATGTTTCATCATTTATATGACCGTGAATGTCATTATCTATGATGGTAGTATTAGATCATGTATCTTCAAATGAATGAAAATTAATATTAATTATATTTATATACCTTTAATAAATCAAGCTAAATACAATCCATCTTTCTCATCATATTACTAATACCCACAATAATTAAATTTTTTGGTTCGTCTCTCATGCCTCTGTATCTAGGTCCATTTTCATCTAATTATGCTTAAAACCAAATGCATATGTAACATTGTTTTGAATATATAGAGCGAAACGCGAAAATTTAAATAAATGGTTATAAAAGATAAGAACGAACACAGGAACGGATGGGTTATTGGCTATTGGTATTGAAAAGGGACATAGAGATGCCATCACTGTCCCCAATGGATACGATTTCGGCAGAGCACGTGAATGGAGTGGACCATTTCATTATTTATTTTCCCTTTATTTTTCATCTTATTTTCTTATCTATTTATTCATCATTTTCATCTCTCTTTTTTTTCAAATTTTTCTCTTCGTGCCTACATATTCCCTCGAAACTTTTCCTATTAGTGTTTTTATATATAACTATACACCATGTCCATCAATATAAATAAAACAGCAATAGAAATTACAAGTAAACTGTTGGAGTTGTCTTCGGCAAAACTTCCAAACGAAGGAGAGATTCTTCTCGAAGCCTCTAGAAGAGTCCGAAGGTTCCGAGAAACGCGGAGTGTAACGATCCAAAATCCGGTATTTCAGACCTGTTGAATCGTCACTTGGGCTCTAAAGAAAACCCAGTTTATTCAAGACCAAATATGTCATCTCAAGTCTATAGCGGAAGTCTCAAATAACATAAGTCTAAAATGCTAAACTCGTAAAAATAGAAAATCCAATTCTTCATATTTCTGGCAACTATCGAGTCCTACCAAACAATCTGCTTCACCTTCACTTGTGGGAAAAAAGAAGAAGGGGTGAGCTACGCGAATAGCTCAGTGAAGTCGCAAGACTATAAACATCGCCTCCGTATTCAACATGGACAATCAAATAGAAAACAAATACAACCAACATTCAACTCAAGCAAACTCATTTTTCTTCACACTTTTCTCTTATATTTTCTTTATTCGATTCTTTAAGACGAGTCCAGACCCTAGGACCATTCAGTATCTCTCAGACTTAGCTTAAAACTCTTTTCATAAAACAAAACCAAAAAAATCGTTATAACCCTCTACGGATCGCCGCCGTAGTCGGGTTACCAAAACACGACCAATAGCAATAACCCTTTACGAATCGCCGACATAGTCGGGGTTACCACTCCACATGGATCGCTGCCATGCCCGGGTCGTTATGCCATTACATACGGATCGCCGCTGTACCATGGCCTCAAAACTCAACCAATAGCAATAACTCTCTACGGATCGCCGCCGTAGTCGGGGTTACCACTCCACATGGATCGTTGCCATGCCCGAATTGTTATCATACCATCACATACGGATCACCGCCATACCATGGTCTCAAAACTCACTTTTAAAATATTTTTAGCATAGTCTGAGGTCACATCCTAGTCCCTAATTTAAATCTTTGCTTCTTCCATCTTTCTAAACATCATGGCAAAATTAAATTGACATCAACAGTTCAACTCATTCTAACGGTCCAATAAATCTATTAAGAAATGTCATCACATAACATGTACGCCAAAAACCATAATCACTCAACAGAAATTTATCAATCATCAATCATCATTCATTATTCATCAATCATCAATCATCATTCATCAACCATCAATCAACAATCAACATACATCATAAATTCGCAAGAAAATTTAAGGCGTCTATCCTAAAGTCCTAACCGCATGATATCTACGTTTTCTATCATCATGTCTAAGCGAATAGAAGAAAGAGGAGTTCTGTCGAGTTCCCTCACCTCGATATAAAACGACGAATCTATAAATATCCCCTCTAATCCTTGAGCTCGGGTCCAATCTCGAGATTTTCTCCATCTACAGTTAATTAATAGTCAATAATTCCTACACACCTCGATTTTCGTAAAATAGATCTCTAATTTGGGATCATGGGATTGAAAGATCTAATTTGTGTCACTGGAAAATTTTTCGAAAACAATGCAGAGAAAAACATTACAGCGAAAGAAGAAAGAAAAAATAATAATAATAATAAAATAAGAAAATAATGAGAAAGAGTGAGATACCAGCGGTGAAACGCGGTGATGATGGGATCGATTGATGAAAACGATGGCGAGAGTGAAAAAATTAATAATAATTATATGAGAGAGAAGAAATTTTAGAAAGAACAAAAAGAATAAAGGAAAATGGGAGAGAAAGGGGGAGATAAGAAGACAAACGAAGAGAGAGAGGTGTGAGATGGAGAAGAGTGAGAGGGGAGAGAGAGAGATTGTACCTGAGAGAGATGGAGTGAATGAGAGAGAGAGAGAGCGCATAGGGAGAGGTGACGGTAGGGAGAGAAAGAAGAAAAAGAAAAGAAGAAAACTCTAAAAAAAATTGCATATCATCCTCATTTTTTCATAATTTTAAAATTTACCCTAAACTTTTATTTTATTTTAGGTAGCCCTCACAAAAATAACATTTTTCTCCAAACTATTTAATTTTATCAACTAACATCTAATTAAATTTCTGAAAAAAAATCTGTACGTTATAATTACACCACCCTTAAAAAGAGAATTCGTCCCGAATTCTTGGATGAATTAGAATAATATGTACAATTTCACTTACAAAAAAAATACTTATAACGAACCTTCATTTCACCTTCTAACTCCAAAGTCAAATCTCTTCCTTTATGGCGAGTCCATATAATCTTCATCAGAGAATATTATCTTATTCTCAGTTGTTTAACTTTTCTTTCAGCAATCTCGATAGATTCTTCTTTATAAGTCCCAACGGTTGTAACTTCAAAGATTGATAATAGATAATGTGATCAAGATCAAAGTGATATTTTCGAAGAATGGACACGTGAGACACATCATGAACTTGTGTCAACTATGAGGGTAAGCTTATAACTCACTGTTTTAATCTTACTCAATACCTTAAAACGTTCAATGAATCTGATTTTTAGTTTCTCTGTTATCTTGAAACGTGTTTTTCCTTTAGTTGCTTGCACTTTGAGAAATACTTTGTCATTCTCATAAAAAGTTAACTCAAGTCTATGCTTATATGTGTAACTCATCTGTCTATCTTGTGTTGCTTTCACTTGTTTCTGAATAATCTTGATCTTTTCTGTGGTTTCATCCATGATATTGGGACCCACAATCGCTTTTCTCAACCTTCTATCCAGCAAAGAGACGTCTTACAAGGTCTTCCGTACAACGCCTCAAATGGTGACATCCCAATACTTGAATGGAAACTATTATTGTAATTGGATTCCACAAGTGGTAAGTGATGATCCCAATCTCCTCCCCAATCCAATATGCACCACGTAACATATCCTCTAGCGTTTGTATTGTTCTCTCTGATTCTCCATCGGTTTAGGGATGATAAGTCGTTCTCAATCAAACCTTAGTGCCCATAGCCTCTTCGAAATTGTTCCAAAATCTCAAAATAAAACGTGGATCTCTATCGAACATAATACTTGTAGGGACCCCATGAAGTTTTACCATTTCTTCTATGTAGACTTGTGCTAGACGAGACATAGAGAATATCTTTTTAATCGAAATAAAATGTGTGGACTTAGTCAAATGATCCACAATAACCCATATCACATTATTTTCCTTTGGTGTCCTTGACAACCTAACTACAAAATTCATTGTCACCAAATCCCATTTCCACTGAGGTATTGATAGTGACTGCAGTTTTTCTGTAGGTACTTGGTGCTCGCCTTTAACTAGCTGGCATGTTAGACAATGATCATAAACTTTGCAATATCCTTTTGCATGTCATGCCAAAGAAAATACTGTTTTTTAAATTTCGATACATCTTTGTAGTACACGGATGTATGGAATATCACATGTTATGCGCCTCTATCAATAATTCTTTCCTCAACTCTTCATCTTTAGGCACATAAACATGACCTCTCAGTAGTATCAACCCATCATTTGAAGTGGAATAACCTGTCCTTGTAAAATCTTCAGACTTTTCCATCAATTCTTCCGTCCTTTCATCTGTTTCTTGAACCATCTTCATCTTTTCCAGCCATTATACCATTTTATAGCACTAGTTTCCAATCCATCTCGATTTTTTTAGTTGATATCTACATTAAACTCAATTGAGTCGTTGGATCACTCGCTAGTCTCAAAGTAGATAACTCAACTTTCTTTCTATTCAAGGCATCTGCAAACACATTAGCTTTGCCAGGGTGATGGGCAATATCTACATCATAATCTGTCACTAGTTCCATCCACCTGTGTTGTCTCAAATTAAGTTCCTTTTACGAGAACACATACTTGAGACTTATGGTCAGTATATACTTGAATCTTTTCTCCGTACAGATAGGATCTCCAAATCTTGAGTGCAAAAATCACTGTTGCAAGTTCTAAATCGTGAGTATGATAGTTTTCTTCATGTTTTCGTAGTTGGCATGATGCATAAGCAATAATTCAGTCTTCTTGCATCAACACGCATCCTAACCCTTGGTGGGAGGCATCACTATACACCAAAAACGCTTCCCTGGGCTTTGGTAATGCCAAAGTGAAAGTTGATGTCAAACTCTTATCTAACTCTTCAAAACTTATCTCGCTTTTATCGTCCCATTCAAACTTCACATTTTTTTCAAATTGTCTTGTCAATGGCTTAGACAAATTGTCAAAAACTTTTACAATTTTCTGTAATTTTCAATCAATCCAAGGAAGCTTCGAATCTTTGTAATATTAGACGGTGTCACCCAATCAACTATAGTCGACACTTTGGATGAATCTACTTTCACTCCTTCCGCAGAAACCACATGTCCCAAGAATCCTACCTCTTGCATCTAAAAGTCACACTTATTGAGCTTTGCATATAACTTTTCTCTCCTTAAACGTTCTAAAACCTTCTCCAAATGTATCATATGGTCCTCACAAGATTTGGAGTACACAAGGATGTCATCAATGAAGATGAGAACAAACTCGTCCAAATAATCCTTAAATGTTGTGTTCATCAACTCCATAAAAACTGCAGATGCATTAATAAGTCCAAACGGCATGACAACAAATTCAAAGTATCCATATCTTGTTCTGATAGCCGTTTTCTTTATATCATCATCTAGAACACGTATCTGGTGGTAACCTGATCATAAATCAATCTTCGAAAACCAATTAGCACCTTGAAGTTGGTCCAATAGCTCATCAATCCTTGGAAGTAGATATTTTTTCTTTATTGTTACTTGATTCAATTCCTCGATAATCGATGCATAATCTCATGCTCTCATCTTTCTTCTTAACAAATAGTATAGGAGCACCCTAAAGAGAAATACTAGGTCTTATAAAACGTTTTCCAATCAACTCCACCAATTGCTTCTTTAACTCAACCATTTTTGAAGCCGCCATATGATAAGGGGTTCTAGAGATATGTTCAACTCCCTGTTTCAACTCAATAGGAAAAGATATCTCTCTTAGAGGAGGTATTCCATGTAGATCTTCCGGAAAAACATCAGGAAATCTTTAACCATCTGTATATCTTCTAGTCTACTTGATATTTCCTTTCCGTTTAATTCTATGACCACCAAATATGTTTCACTCCCTTGTTGAATTAGCCGGTTTACCCGCACTGCTGAAATAAAAGGCAAACTTGAAGTCTTTCTTACACCCTCAAACTCTAGTACCATGGATCCCTTTTGTGCAAAACGAACTCTACCTCTCTTACAACTCAGGTGCGCTCGATGACTTGATAACCAATCCATACCCAAAATCACATCTTATCCCTTGATTTGTACCACTATCAGATCAACAGGTTAAGTCATGTATACCAATCAGGACCGATACATCACGAATCATTCCTTTCGATTCCATTTCCTCTCCACCATGTGTATCGACCAATATTCTACCACTATTAATATCAGGTGCAATCTTCATGCGATTTACGTATGTGGATGAAACAAAACTATGTGTCGCCCCTGTATCAAAAAGGGTGTGAGCTTGTTCACCTCCAATACTCAACATAACTAAGGAAAGAAATGATATGACCGATGAATTACACATATAACTAATTTACAACACCTACATTCGAAATTAGTCTTAACTAGTCATATTTTTTTTACGATTTCCTAATATATTTAAATGAAATATCGACATACCTATGATTGTTGCCGTTTCTTCTTCCTCTTGCTCTTCAGTTCCTAGAGCATAGACTCTAGGCTTCACCGCTGGTCTCTTAGCAGCTGGTTGTTGATGAACTGGTCTTTGTTCAATCCTTTTAGGTGCTTTTATTTTTAACTCGGGACAATCGCTCTTATAATGTCCCACCCTTCCACAGTGGTAACAAGTGATCTGGAGCAATCTACACTCGCCAAAGTGACGTCTCCCACATTGTGAGCACATCGGGATACCGGATGTATAAGGTTGCACAACCGCCTTGCCCTTACTCCTGGGATTAGTCGACCTCTTAGTAGATGCTTCGATTTCACGTTCTGTTCTCTTAGCTCGATAAGTCATATCCACTATTTCTGACATCGAGTTGATTTTCAAAAGTTCCTGTTGGTTTTTCTGGGATCTCATGAGCGAATCCTATTCCTAAGAGATCGATTCTAGGGTTTGGGCAGCGGATGTAAAATAAAAATTTAATAAAACCCTAAAACCTATCATGCATGATCTTGTAGCAACGTTAGAACGCTTACCTCAATCGATCCGGGGCCTGTTTCAATTGATGTGTTCGTCCGATCACTATAGGCAGGAAGAATACCTCGCCCTCTACACGTATCCACACCTCGGGATGGATTCCAACATTTGGAACTTGTCTGCTAGGACACGAATCTTCTATTCGATGATGTGCTTTGAGAAAGAGAGATTCAGATCACTTCTTCAACCCTCTAGACTCTCTCAAAAGGTCTAAAGACGCTCTCTAGGTCGGCTCCTTAGTGTTAGGGTTCTATTTCTCTTCTTAGTCAAGTGATTAACCCTAGATCCGGACTTTAAAATTAAATCCGAACCCAGACCGAACGGACTGCTTAGTAGTCCGTTCGGTCTGGACACTTGGTCCGTTCGGACCATATTCATAACTGGGTCCGTTCGAACTGATGGGTCAGTCCGTTCGGTCCAACACTTGGTCCGTTCGGACTGAACTCTCTACTCCGTTCGGTCCAACTATTTGGTCCGTTCGGACTAGATGCTCCGGTCCGTTCGATCTACTCCTAGACCAGACGGTCCGGACCTCTGTCCAGACTTTTCGACATT